AGGGTAGATTCAACCAGGACTTTCATATGCCAGTTAAAATGTGGTAGGTGATGCAGCACATCCTAGAGCCTAGGAAAGTCAGAGAAGATGGATAAGAGCTGTCCAGGAAGGTTAAGTTGGATGCAAATGAGCAAAGGAAAAGGCAAAGACTGAGGGAAGGCAGTAACATCCTTGTACACTATTAAGAGTTTTTTGGTGTGTGTGTGTGTGTGTTTTTAACATGATTATATTACAGAAGTGCAAGATGCTAAAGTGATTCTAAAGCAGCCATGAAAAGTGTGTATTCTGTGTCTTAGGACTTTAATAAGCCATGATAGCTCCTATGATGATGATCGGTTAAAATGATTTTTAAAAAAATATATTTTATTGTTTTTTTACAGAGAGGAAGGGAGAGGGAGTGAGAGTCAGAAACATCGATGAGAGAGAAACATCAATCAGCTTCCTCCTGCACACCTCCCACTGGGGATGTGCCCGCAATCAAGGTACATGCCCTTGACAGGAATCGAACCTGGGACCCTTAAGTCCACAGGCCGATGCTCTAAACACTGAGCCAAACAGGTTAGGGTGGTTAAAGTAATTATTGAAGCAACTGTGGCACCAGTGCCCTAATCTACCCGAGTACATGGATACTGGTCCAGAGAATGGCAATGCTAAAGAGTTGCAATTGCTTTACAGACATGCTTACATGAATTCGCCCGAGTTCTCAACAAAGCAGGTGGCTAATGGGAAACCGGCTGACAGGATGCTGTCACTGGCACAAAGTTACCTGTCTTAGGGTTTGTTCTGGTCCAGGGATGTTGGCAGAAATCTCCTAAGTTGGTGGTTGAATTTCTTTTATTTTACCAAAATCATTGGGTGCCTGAATTCTTTTTGAGTACAACATCTTAGCCATCTCTTCGTCCTGATCCCTAGCCCCAGAACTTAGCAATTATAGGCGGGGTGGAGGAATCAGTGGAGGGAGCGCTTAATTAATGTTTGGAAAGCTAATGGATGAATGTATGGATAGATAAAGGAGAACATAATAGTTTATTTATTTATAATTTCAAAACCTGGGGAGAGTTTGGGTTAACTGTAAAAAATATATGAAGAGATGATGCTGTCTAGGCTTAGGAGATTGAGTTAAAAGGAACAGGAGGGCATGAAGGTCTCTGCGTTGTGGCCATAACAGGCTTTGTTTGGTAACTATTTGTACTTCCTTCCTTTTCTTTGTTGTAGGGAAACTCCATTGTGCAGTTGAATAAGTAAGGCTTAGAAAGGAAAGTTGCAGATTTCGGTAGTCCTGACCTTATAAGTGTTTTAGGAACTGAAGTGGAAGTTATGGGAACAGAAGAAAATGAGTTTTGTTATTTTGAGGTAGGGAGGAGATTAATGACCTTGGCGCAAAGCTTGTACACAATAAAGGCGGGGTGTGTGCCCTGGCCAGTTAGTTCAGTGGTTAGAACACCCAACCATGGACCAACTCTTCTCAGGTTTGATTCACTGCCAAGGGCATGTACCTTGCTTGCAGGTTTGATACCTGGCACTGGCAGGGGTGCATGTGGGAGGCAATCCGTCCATGTGAGCTTCTGTTTTTGTCTTTTCCCTACTCCTCCCTCCCTTTCACTCTCTCTAAAAATCAATGGGAAAAATATCCTCAGGTGAGGATTAAAATTAATTAATTAATTAATAAAGGATGTTTATGAGGCCTGGAGGTAGATATTACTTCATCAGTGATTTTTGCAGTGTTCTGTCTAAAAATAGAGAAGCAACTGAAAGAAAAAAATAGAAATGAGAATTATGATTTAATTAACCAAATTTTGTAGGATGGTTTTCTTCAATAGTGATTCTTCTTCAACCCTATTATTTTATTTTTACTATTGTTACTATGTTATCACTTTGACTGCTTTGCAGGATTGAAATAAACAAAACATACATGAAAATATGTCTGATAAAGCAGCAAAACCCAAATGCTATTAGCCATTCCATTCCAGACCCATGAGATGGAGCAGCTTTGAACTTTATCAATATAAATGTTCTACTCGTACATTTTTATGTCTTGATGTCAGAGTTAATTTTAGTTACAAATGGGCCTCCTATCTATTTGGCTAATAGAACTTGTAGACATTTGGGACTTGATTTTACTCATGTAAACATGGCCCTACTCTCTTGTCAGTCATTATTACATACAATGTTAAACTGAATAAAGTTAAATCTGAAACCAAGAAAATTTCAAGCTTATGTCAGTTTTAGTCTGCTTTGAGACTGTGTCGATTCCAATGAAATGAAGGCATCAGGAACTCTATGGCCAATTTTTTCAAGTAAGATAAAGACTCCTAAGATTCCAGGAGCAAATTCCAGTGGAACTTTTATGTCACAAACCATTGCAATTTCCAGCTCTAAAATTCTCCAGCTGATATGATTACTTTAAAAATGTGGATTGAGCTGAAACTGGTTTGTCTCAGTGGAGAGTGTCGGTCTGCAGACTGAAAGGTTCCAGGTTTGATTCCCCTCAAGGGTACCTTGGTTGCAGGCACATCCCCAGTAGGGGGTGTGCAGGAGGCAGCTGATTGATGTTTCTCTCTCATCGATGTTTCTAGCTCTTTATCCCTCTCCTTTCCTCTCTGTAAAAAAAAAAAATCAATAAAATTTATTTTTTTACTGTGTATTGTGTCCAAATGTGAGACATAAATGAGGTTGACATAAATCAATTGATTGCCATCATCTTTTTAATTTAAATCCTTTTTTATGTTTCCTGTTTTGCCCAATTAATAGGGAAATAATAAATGTTTCATGTGTGGTCTAATTTGACCCAATGCATAGGTCTCTCTGACTTAAATTCTTCTGTTTGGCATCCTTAACCCACACCTGAGTTACATCACCAACATTACTGTGTTTCTATATTTACAATGAAATTTGCTTATGAATTAAAAGCCAATCTCTGCTTGTAAAATTAGAAAGTGAACAAGTCCCAACATAGACCCAAAGCAAGATTAATAATGACATGTCATAATATTCAACCATAGTAATATCTCTGAGCAAAACTTTATCGTCAACATTTCTTTGTGGAGCCCAGAAGCTGTGTCAGTCGTTTTCTGCTCTCCCTACTGACCTATTGGGAAATTTTCTCCCACTGATGGAATTGTCATTCTGTCACAGGAAAAGACAACAGAGTAATGGAAAGTGTTGGCTGGCAAAAGCAAGGGCTCAGGCTGGCCCATCTGGAGCAGTTCCAGTAAATTTCATCTCTTAATATAATGGGAAATGAGTGTTACTTAAGATTTTGAAGTTTCATTAGCACACTTCAAAATTATTTGGCTAGACATTCAAAATAACTGAATATAGTAAATGTATCATTTGAAATATTATAGTTCCTCAATCTTTATGCTGTTTCTAACAGCATAAAAAAAATCATTGTACCCTTAAATTCCTTATTTTTGTCAGGGCTTTTATTAGGTATGCACTAAGAAAACCACTCAACAGTTTAGTTGGCCAAGTGAAGCATGGTGCTCTTTTCAGAATGTTTCAGGACACTTTGCCCAGGAGAATGCTAAGTGTTATACCTGTTGACAAAGAGCTGGGATGGGCAGCCCATTCCACTGGTAACTGCTGAAACTATGAGAAGGAGTTTTCTCATTATGAACCTATTTTTGTTTTCTTTAATGCCTACTATTGTGTCTTTTTCTGCTGACTTCTCCAACTCTCTTTTTGTCCTTTCAAGCCAGAGGTGTCCTGACCTTTACCTCATCATTCTGGAGAAAATCATTGATAGAATACTAAAGGCCTGGTGCATGATATTTGTGCACTCGGAGGGGGTCCCTCAGCCTGGCCTATGGCCTCTCACAGTCTGGGAGCCCTTGGGGATGTCTGACTGCCAGCTTAGGCCCTCTCCCCTTAGTGCTGCTGCAGAGGTTGGAGAGGCTCCCGCCACTGCTGCTGCACTCGCCAGCTATGAGCCTGGCTTTGGCTGAGTGGCCTACCCTTGTGGGAGGGCACTGACCACCAGGGGGAAGCTCCCATGTTGAGCGTCTGCCCCTTGGTGGTAAGTGCATGTCATAGTGATCAGTTGTTCCTTCATTCGGTCAATTTGCATATCAGCCTTTTATTATATATGGTACTTCTTTTCAAAGTTTCATTGAATGTCTTTAAATAAGACCTGTAATTATAACCACAGCACCTGACAATTAATCGCATACACTAAATATTTGTTGCATTTTTGTTTTTAAAATATCAATCTGGTGCACAGGAAAGCACAGGGGCTATGAAATCAAAGAGGCCTAGATTCTATTATTGCATGTCAAGTTTTAACTTGCTCTAGGATCTTGGGCTACATTTTTCACCTTTTTCAGTCTCTGTGTTCTCAGTTTCATTAAAAAAAAAAATCTCATTTTATAAAGTTGTATTCAGGATTATCTGTGTCAATATCCATAAACTACCTAGTACAGTTTCTGGCACATAATAGTTGCTCAGTAAATATTAATCTTCACATACAGCTCATCCTTCCCAACCCCATCTCCCTTATAATCTAGAACAGCAGTGTAAACAGAAAAACAGAAGCCTTCCTTGGCTTCCAGCTTTGCCCTTTCTATGCCCAGGACCTTGGACAAATCACTTTACCTCCTTGCATGGTTCCCTAACAAATAGTCTCATGTCTACTACAAAAGTTTGTTTTAAGAATCAAATAGATATTGGATTGGTAATAAATTTCAAATATGATGTCAGCTATTGTAATTGCTGGTAGTAATTTATCAGTGAATAATTGCGGACTGAATGAATGATCTATTCCCCCACTTCTCCCTCCCCACACTAGAGGAGGGAGGAAAAGTCCAGCAAACTTAATATTGAAAACTGGCTCACATGTGCTTATGGAAATATGCTCATATGGGAACATTTGCCTTCATCAGTGTAAATCCTGGAAAACACTCTCACATGAACATCTGGCAGAAGAGCCATTGACTACAAAGGTTCAGAATCCCAGAGTTATAGTTGTCGATGACTGACACTCTTCCTTTCATTTCTTCCAGGAATTTCTATTACATCACGATGTTGCGTGATCCAGTGTCCCGTTACCTGAGCGAGTGGAAGCATGTCCAGAGAGGGGCCACGTGGAAAACCTCTCTCCACATGTGTGATGGGAGAAGCCCCACCCCCGATGAGCTACCTACCTGCTATCCTGGGGATGACTGGTCTGGGGTCAGCTTGCGCGAGTTCATGGACTGCACCTACAACCTGGCTAACAACCGCCAGGTGCGCATGCTGGCGGACCTCAGCCTGGTGGGCTGCTACAACTTGACTTTCATGAACGAGAGCGAGAGAAATGCCATCCTGTTGCAGAGCGCGAAAAACAACCTGAAGAACATGGCCTTCTTTGGGCTCACCGAGTTCCAGAGGAAGACACAGTTTCTCTTCGAGAGGACATTCAACCTCAAGTTCATCTCTCCCTTCACACAGTTCAACATCACGCGGGCTTCCAACGTGGACATCAACGACGGTGCTCGCCAACGCATCGAGGAGCTCAACTTCCTGGACATGCAGCTGTACGAGTACGCAAAAGATCTCTTCCAGCAGCGCTACCACCACACCAAGCAGCTGGAGCACCAGAGGGACCGGCAGAAGAGGAGGGAGGAGCGGAGGCTGCAGCGGGAGTCTCGGAGCCACCGGTGGCCCAAAGAGGACGGGAACGCAGAGGGGGCCGTCACTGAGGACTACAACAGTCAGGTGGTGAGATGGTGACCCCCTGCCTCTCCTCCCGGTGGCGTTACCTTGGAGACGCTTGGGCCATTCTGAGGACATCTGGCTGTTGGTGGCCTGAGGTGGAGACCTTCCTCTTTTCCTTCCTCTCTATCCTGCTGGAGAGAATCGGTCTTGTTCTTTTCTTCCTGACATTTCCTATCTGTGATTTGGAGTAGGGTAGGAATGCATCCAGGACAGACCACCTCAGAAGGTCAAGGAGAGAAGCACCAGAAAGGAAACAGTGTCCTTGCAATCTCCTTGGCACAGCGCAGGTTACACCATGAGTGGCTGGACCCACAGAGGCAGACATGAAAAGCCAAACCCTGGCTTGGATGTTCTGCTGAAACTGGGCTGTTTCATATGGTCTCGGTAATGGAAATACTGGTTGGTTTAAAGAGAGAGAAAAAGAAGTCCCTTTCAAGTCCTTTGATGAGGTTTTTGCCAACCCTTACTTTGTTGGCTGTCGTCTTTGAACTCTAGTTGAATGGGGTTTAAATCAGAAGAAGAGAAATGTGTTTTGTTGCCGTCTTTTAAAACAAAAGTATCCTACTAGTGACCATCACTAGAGACTCACATCCGGCAAAGCCCTGCATCCCAGCCCTGAGCCATGTTTCCTTCCCCACATTTCAGGGAACTGCAAGTGGATTCAGGTCAGGGTGCCTGTGGCCCCTGAGAAATGAACGTTAGGGGCATTTGGGAGAAAATGTGCTTATTAACCAATGCCAATGGAGAGAACTCTTTACCAAATTGTATTTTCAATGTAAGGAATGAATGATAAGGGGAGTTGGGGGGACATTGGAGGGTAGATACATGCCTACCATTTCCTAACTGGTTACAGACCTTAGGTGTGTGCGTATTTGTTTTTTTAAAGAACCTTTCCAAGTTTTACCTCTTTGGAGCAGTCATCTTCTCTGCTACGGTACTGCCAGGTCTGAAATGTTACTATCACAGAGGGAAAGACATTTGAAAAGAATTTGGCTTGAAGAATATGAGCTGACAATAACTATCAGGTATACAAAACATATTTGAGGTCCTTAAATAAATGATAATTTTGATTTAGGCCAGGAGATATGGAACACGATGGGGCGATTATGCTGGGCGTTTAAAAAGACTCTATCTCCTCAAATCTTAAATATTTCTAGCCTGGTAGTTTTTTCCTCCCCACGTGGTCTTTACCTGTTGTTAGATTCTGTCTACAGCTGGCGCTGGCTAGATTGTGTAAAACTGAACTCCCCAAAATGCACAGCCTTGCTGAATGTTTCTTATGTTCACTTTTTTCCCAATCACAACGATGATAACACAATGCTTTTGAATAATAAGGGGAGAAGTATGTGGGAGGAAATCGCGATCCCTTGCCTACCTACCAATCAGTAGGAGGATCAGAGTGAGTAGTAAGTTTCAAAACAGATTTATCTGATCAATCCCCTCAAGGAGCTAAAAGGCAAAATGAGTGAAAACTCCTTAATCAGATTGAAAAGCCTATTTCATTGATATCCAACATGTTTGATGTGTAAGCCAGCTTTGTATAAGCCGCATCTCATCCTCCGGAATACTCTCTCTGGGGTTGAGAGTCAATCAACCCACAGGCATTCACAGATTGACTGCCTGCACGAAGGGAAGCTGGTGCCTCTGTCAAAGGGAGGCCTAGAAGAGTCACATAGACCCTTCTCTCACTTCCCTTGGCTTCATCTGTCACGTGAGGGAAGGCATTTGGGGGGACTTCCCTTTGGCCAGGAACTGTAGAGGCCCTTTTCATACTTTAAATGCATTCACAACCAGGTATATATTATTAGTCCCAATTTCATAGGTGAATATAGTGAAACCCACTGACAAAATGTAGTTTTCTCCTGAATTGTATGCTAGGTCTGGCTGACTGCAAAGTACAATTTCTTTGGATTCCATCATGATTTCCACATGGGATAAAAGCTTTCAGCCAATCATGCAAGAATCCAGCCATTATTGCTCAGAAGCATATGCCTCTATCCCATATGGGTGACACAACTGGGACAGCCCTAAGGTGGCCAGTGACCCAGAGCAGAGCCGTGGGGCCTTGAGTGAGTCCAGCCCATCAATAAACTGAGAGACGGATGACTTTTTTAATCAATTGTACTTTTTCAGCCATTCATGAGGGTGAGTTAAAGGGGCCAAGTAAATATTGCTTATTATTTGGTAGAGATTAGGCTCACAAAATATTAATGTTTTCTTTTCCGATGAGTTGTTCCTAAGGTAGGGAGGGAAGGAGGATTGCAGATGGGATTAATGAGAAGAAGCTCACTCTCTGTTCACATTTTGATGTTAACATCCAATGTTCTGCCGAGGATGGCAGGTCTGCAAATTACTCTCTGCCTGGTATTGTACACACACACACACACACATACACACACACACACACCACCCCACAATGATCATCTAGTCTCTTGTCATGTGGAAAATCAAAACAAGTTGGAAAGCATTCAGATTGTTTCCTTTAAACTCACTTTAAGTTTCTGGCAAGGAATTCATGCATAGCCGAGACTTGGAGGCAGTCTCTGCTAACTTCACACTACTCCTTAGGCACCTCAGGATTGATATCAAAAGGCTTCCGTGGCCTTGCTGCTAACGGCGTGATGTATGGTGCTCCACTGGAGACCAGCTATCGGGATGTTCAGAGGAGAAACCATCTCTCCGTGTTGGCCTGAGGCCAGCGCTGAGCAAATTAAAAAGCCCGACAAGGGCTTTCTCCCTCATATCATTTCATTCTAAAGCAGCACACTTGTCATATCCCTGGGGTCCTATGTTGATAGAAATGAAGAAGTGGGGATGCAGTTTGTTCTCCAAAAATTGACTGCACACCTACATGCTGAGTGAAACTCAGGAAAGCGATGCCAACAAAAGGCATGTGGGCCTAAGGATCCGGGGGAAGCTGTCGGCCTTCAGATCCCAAACCAAATCAATTCCAGATACATTAGTGTTAAAAGCCTGAGGGAAGGAGGAAGGGAGGGAGGGAGGGAGGGAGGGAGGGAGGGAGGGAGGGAGGGAGGGAGTGAGGGAGGGAGGGAGAGAGAGAGAGAGAGAGAATTCCCCAAGAGTGCCACATCCGATTGACGCCTGCAACTCTGAGGTAGAAATTCCTTTCCTTTTCTTGGCCATGGCAGCTCCAGTAATGAGACTGAGATTAGGTGTCTCTGTGTGTATCTGTGTATGTTTAAATGATTATTATCATTATTAAGGACTATTCTGCCTCGTTTATTGGCAGCCTTCTCTTGGTATCCGGAGAAAACCTGCCCTGAGAATTATCTGGAACCCCTTTATAATAATTAATATCATTAGCAATTAGTTTTAGGCAGCAGTTAAAGATATCACATGCACTGTTAAAATTCATAAAAACATGTGTTTTTTTTATCATCTAAAGGAGGTAACTGTCATACACAGTTTGATCGATGGTTTGAAAAATGAGGATTTGTTTTCAGAAGTCTGTCGAGATAGTATGGGAGAGAAGGCCTACCAGACAGACCTGGCAAGGAGGCAAGCATCGATCATAAAGTAGGAACTATAAGAAGTTTATTGGATAGGTTTTCCATTTGGCTGATTTAACAAAGAAAGTCAACATGTTAATGACTTCAATGAGATGGGAGAATCGTTGTCTCACTTAAAAGAGAAACTGGCTTGACAGCTGGTGTGTGGCATTGCCAGAGACCCAGGTGTTCTCTTGCTCTTTTGTCCTCATGGGCAGATTCCATCTCCTGGCCCAAGATGACTGCCGCAGCTCCTGCCATCTCATCTACATTGAGGACAACAAAGAGGGGAAATGGGAGGCAGTTGCACACATCACTAATAGCCACATCTTATGGGCTAGCACCTAGCCATTAGTTACATTTAGCAGCATAGAAAGGCATGAAATGTCTTTATGTTATTGGTTGCTATGTGCCTTGATATGAAGGTCCTCTTATTCAGTGAAATAATGTCAAAATTAATACTGGTAAAAACTATTAGTCTCTGACACAAAGGGGAATAAAAAAAGACATCAAGTGCTTTCTGCTGTCATCTATAATGTCATAGGTTTTTCAATAGATAAAAGTTCATAATTCTATATACCATTTAATGTTTTTTTAAAAAAAATTTTTCTTTAATATCTCATTGATCTTCACTACATTCTTATATGTTAAATAGGATCTCTGTACATTACCCATTAGATACTTTGACATGGAAATTCAGAGATGTTGAGAAATTTCCAAAGATTACAGTTTACTAATAAGAAAGTTGCTCGGAGGCCCAGTCTTTTGACTTGGAGTCTTTCCGGCTATTTTGTGCTGCTCAGCATCAGATTTGGGGTTGGGAATTGAAAAAAATATGAATCTAAACCATTATTGATTTATACCTTCCCTTACCTTTTCATGGAATTGCAGTGACTTAGATAATGCCAAGGAGACTGGCAGAGTTGGCCCATAAGCCCCTGTGTCTAGTGAGGGAGCCTGTTAATAGGGGTGAAATGGCCAAAAGATTGTCAGTGTTGCAGGGGCAACTGGAAAGCACAGGCACTCAAACACTTCCTGCTTATATTCATCCCATCCAACCCCAAACTTACTCAAGGACAAGGCTGAGGGGATGTGCTTATACCTCCGTGTTAGAAGCTCAGTGTTAGGAATATTTACAATCAGGAGCAGCCTAAATACTGAAGCTTAAGGGGTGATCAATAGAACTTCAATAAAAATTTACCTTTCTCATTACCTCTTCCCCAGGTCCCTAGAATTTTATCAGCAACTTACTTTTTTAGTTCCTAAAGGTTTTTGAAATTTTTTTTTCAGTGGTTCTCTTTGCACATTTGCTAAAGAGAGGAAATGCTTTAAGCTGTCATAAGCTAACACCTTCACACAGAATGTTTATCTGGCCTCTAGCTGAGAAGGTCCTATGTAATAGGATCATGTGTATGTGTGTGTGGGGGGGAGGGGGGGATGGGGGGTGAGGGAGACTGGGAATAACTATAGGAAAAAAAATAAGTAGAGCTCTTAAAAAGGAAGCAG